TTGCGCTATGAGAAGCTAAAGCATGGTGATGAGACCACCAAGGTTGGGAGGCCTAGGAAGCGTTGGGTGAAGAAAATGAAGGGAGGGATTCGGCTATCTCGTTCCAGAAAACTTATTTTCAAGGCCTTTTCCATGGTAGTGTTGGCAGGCAGGGTTGCGAGGGTGTATGCTGACATTATAGATCGAATGAAGATGGATGGTTTCTGTCCCAACATCATCTTCTCCACTCAGTGGGGACTTCCTGTTTTATCTCACCCCTCTCTTAAATGTAGAAAGACTACATTTTCGTAATTTAATTTGAATGATTAAACTTATTTATAGCTGTACTGTGTTGATTGTGTCTTCAATCTTTTTGGTTCTGTTTTTCTTTCGACTTATTAATTAATCTTCTTTTTTACTACTAATTGAGTTGAGTGAACCAAGTCCTGAGATTTCCACATTCCAAGAGGCTTATCGATTTCCAATAATAATAGTAATTGCTTTCAAATGAGTATATATAATAATTGCTCAGGGTAAAATTAGGCCTTCATTATATATTTTGTAGTTGGAAAGCAAACAAAGCTCTCCAACTTGGCTGAGTACTGTTAAACAAAAGCCAAGTACAATTAATTGCGCTGTGCCGGTGCTGGAAAGGAGTCTCCTATTAATCAAAATTAGCTACCTTTCCAACCTAGCCATACCCATCATTCTTTCGGGAGGATATATATATATAAGTCAAACAAAATACAATATCAAATAATAACACAATTACAATATCAAATAGTATCTGACAACAAAATTATAAATACTAACAGTAACAAATATTGAAAGGAATAAATAAATATTGACTAAAAGATAAACTAAACAGTAACAAATAAAGACAAGATAAAAAGACAAACTTGACTAAAGTAAGCAAAGACCAAGTAAGATATCAACAATACGTAGTAAATGGAAAAACATAAGTTAGTATGTAATTTTTTTAGGTTTTTGTTATATTTTACATTCGAATAATAGTTAGTTAAATAGTATTGTAGATTTGATTATAAATTTTGCAAAAAATTATAGAAAACAAAAAGAAAAAGAAAAAGCAGTGCTTGAATAGTTCCAAAACCTTGAAAAGCATTACAATAAAAATATTTTGAAAATAATTGAAAATTTGGACTACTTGCAACAATAAATTGAATTTGTTAAAAACAAAGTTAATTTAGTCAACTCCCAAATTTTGAATAAAAGAGAGTTAGATCCTTTTGCCCAAAATATTTATCATCAAACAACGATTTTGATACAAAATCAAGAAGAGTTGTTAAAATAAATCCAAAAACTTCAAAGATTAAGGCCAACTTTTGAGGAACATGTCTCATGGCAGTCATTTTGGAGTGAGACATGCTTGTTCCTTTGTTTGATTCAATTATTATCCCTCCATTTGATTTTCAAGATTTCCCCATCCAACAGAGTCAAGATTATCATAAAAATTTATCCCATCATCTAAGTTGTCATTGGGAAGTTCACCACCCATGTCAACTCCAACTGTATGATCTTCATATTGATCTTCACCATTTTTATACTTTGCAGAGTAAAAATGTAATAGTTGAGTGTAGGTTGTCTAAGGTGTGAAGGATTTTAAAATAATGGCATAAGAGCTATTTCATTTATATATTTGTATATGGTATAAAAAATGAATAAATTTTAGTCTAGAGACGGTCTTTTCTTTGCCAAAGATCTAGTCTATCTTATATTCTTGTCATAAGTCTAACCATATTAAACACATTCCTAAAGGCTCAAGTTTTAGTTACATAAATTTTCTTGTCTTTTTTTCTCTAAAAGATAACTTACTATTTGTCCAACTTGTTTTCCTACTTTGTCAAAATAGTTAAGTTCTATTAAGATCCACTAAGGTTCAACCCAAGCATATACATACGGACATAGTTAAATATACTTAAGAATTTTTTAAGTTTTTTTTTTCTCAATTTTGTCAAGAAATTAAAGAATCTTCTTTACTATATAATCTTATAACTAAAATTTTCCCTATCCAATCTTCATTCTTAAAAATTCAATGTACTCTTTTGAGAGTTTCATCTTCTTGAGTATGTATAAAGATCTTTTAGTTGTTTGCTTTTATGTATTATTTAGTTTAAAGAAAATCTTTGACAAAAAGAATAGTTTACAACTTTCATTTGTCTTATTATTCTATATTCATGTACTTATATATAGATGAGAGTTTCCTATGCGATATACTTTTATATAGACAAAAAGCAAATAAGGAAGAAGTAGGAAATTAATAAAAAGCAAATGAGGAGACCTAGGGCATGGGCATGCCAAAAGATGTGCTGTGTGGGAGGATATTGAGGAGATCTATACTAGAGGTCGAGGCTAAGCTGGACAAACAACGAGCAGAGGAAAATCAGATGTTATCTATAGCTTGTAGATTATTAATAAGAGAAGGATAAAGTTGAAATACCACTTTCATTTCCTTTTATATGACTCACTCATTATCTATTTTAATATAAATGTGGAGATAGATTGGTTTTTTTAATTTTTATTCAGGCAATTGCCATTCTTCTTACTTCGTATCTCCCCATGCATTGCAGAACTAGTTGTAAAACATCAAATTTCATTAATTAAAATCACATGATTCACATATCCAAAATTAAGAAGAAAAAAAAAAAAAGAAAAAAAAATTTTGAAAGTTTGGGTTTTGGGCATTGTGAGGGAAGGGAGAGATCGAAGGAGTAAAGTAATTGCCGTTGATTGGGCTCTGGCCCATGTGGGAGAGGGAAATCAGTCGCTGTCGTTCGGCACGACAAGTAACCACCACCTGACACCTCCTTTTATTTATTTATTATTATATTATTATATTATATCTTTAATAAATTTTTTATGTGCTAATTGATTGAGTTAAGATATATGAATTTTTTTAATGTGTATAAAAATTAAAATATAATATAAGCTTTATAAAGAATTAATATGTAATAAATATATTTTTAAAATTAATTAATTAAAATTAATGTATATGTTTTATATAAATTAATTATAAAAAATTATAATTAGTCAACTCTTAAGTTGTATTATATGTGAAGATACCCATTTTATGTGAATCAAAAAAGAAAAAAAAATCCCATTTTATAATACAAGACGTGTGTAGCTTGATGTAATTATTGACGTGTCTTGGTTGAAAAAGTAAACTAATTAATTAGTAGGAGTAGTGCTCCATTAAGGAATCTTGTTCTGGTTGGTTACAGGGGCGGTGTCCACTGCAGGTGGTGAGCGGTTGTTCTCTGGCTGCAGAAACCGACGTTAACTGATTCCATCTCGATTTTCCAATTTCCAGTGCCCTACCTTCCTTCCTTCAATTCCCTTCTCTTTGTCAATTTCTTCTCCGACAATTGAATCTCCCTTTCCTCTCCTCTCCTCTTTTCATCATAAATGCCCGCTTCCATCCTTTGATCCTTAATTCAGCGGCAGTGAGTTCCCAACAGGGATTTATGTCTGACCCTGATAGGGAGGTATTGGAGGTTGGTCACAATCACAGAGGTGCAGATGGCGGTGGTGTGATATGAAGAAAAAAATAAATAAGCTGAGCTGTGCAGGACAGATGGCATCTTTTAATTCCCTTTTTGCATTCTTTCCGTTAGGCTATTTTGTCTTTTGGTCAGTATATGTATGCTGTGATTCCTCATTGTGGGAATGAGAATATTCTGGTTTTTCTTCATCCTTAAACCTCTGTATCCTGTCATTTCTTTCTCTGTAATCCAGATCTATATTGAGGAATCCATATCGAGGATCTTTCTTTCTCCTATAGATCTTCCTTACTGTTTTCTCATTTGCATTTCTTGGTATCATGGTGACGACGACCATGATCGAGAATCTGGAACTAGTGGAACCCAGATCAGGAAGAAGAAGCAAAGGGAATATAATGGGTTTAGGAAGAATTTCACTAAAGCAAAGCAGATGTTCCACCGGAAGAAGTCAACTTCTTCAAACAATGGCGATAGAGGTTCCGATTCCAGTTGCTTTTGTTTCAGAGGCCAATCCTGTACATTGGAATCGAGCAATACAAGCGATCCCAACGACCCCAACTTGTTCAGCTATGACATGCTCAAAACTCTGATTCAGAAGAATGGTTTCTATTCCAAAGAATTGAATACCCATTTGCCTTAAATGTCAACACACAAACTAATTTCATATATATGTTTATTGCTGTTCTGTGGTTCTGATTTTGGACCAATTTTCTGAGTAGCAACTAACAAGGGTTTTGATTTGATGGGCTTTTGGAGTTCTCTTTCGAGATAAGTTCAACTTGCCCATCACAAGTATCCCCATATAGAAAAGATTTATAGAGGTTGCTGACACTTCAGATTCTTTCAAACTGGAAAGGTTTTCATTTTTTCTTTTCCTCCCTTGTTTTTAATTATTTGTGAATGATAATTTTAATATATATATATATATACACTTGTTTATGAATATCCAAAACCTTGACAACTATTGCAGCTTTAGCTTTGTTTATACTTGTCTAAACAGCCTTGTGTTGTAGGAATTTATCAAGTCAGTTGTATGTTAGATTTTGAATGCATATATATATATATATATATATCTAAAATTGAAACTTCCATGATTGTACGATCAACTACTTAATAGACCTACCTTTCTTTTTCCCCAACAACACAAATGTTTATGCTGCCTCTGCCAGAAAAATTGCAACCAGATGCATTAGGGAGAAATTCTGCATTTTTTTGAGAGCTAATCCATGTTTGAGGTGGATCAGGATTTTAATTAATTAGTCATATATATAGTTGAAACATGACATGAACTGGGAGGTACTGAAGCACTGCTCATCTGCCTCTGCCGCTTATGGTGTTGCTGCAATGGAATAGCAAAAGAGGATCTTTTGCATCTTCATAAATGTGCTTTTAAGTAACTAATAATTCTGAAATTTGCTAGAAATAATATAAAAGGTAAATGCATGGGTTAATTCATGGAGTACAAATACTACAGTAATTATAGTTTAAACTCAAAATTTGAGAGTAAAGGTGCAAATAAAGATTTCAATTTTGCACTTTTTTTTATTTAAAAATGTTAATTTTGTCAGTTTTTAAATAAAGATGTCAATTTTTAATTTTTTCTAAATAAAAATGTCAACTTTCAATTTTTTCTATTTAAGGATTAATTGAATAGTGATGCTGACGTGGTTAACATATTTTTTTATGTTAAATACCTGAATTGGTCACTCAACTTTTATTTTTGAACCAATTCATCTTTGAACTTTAGAAAGTATAAAAAACGTCCTTCAACTTTTATTTTTAATTAATAAAATTATTTC